TAAAAGAATACCATTGTATAAACATTGTATAATTATCTGAGTGGAATTTAAAAAAAATCTAATTAGTTTAAAAAAAAGCAATCAAAATTATTTTTACCCGTTTCTTCCTACATTATATTCGACGCGTTCCACTACTAGCGACACCTAGTGTTGAAAACCTTTCTCAATTTAGGTATCGACTAAGCATGACTTCAACCCTAGTAATATATAAGTCAATGCTTCAACCACTCTTCCATACGTGCTGACCTCAACCTAAGTGTTCACGCAGTTTAAAATACAAGTCGAAGTAAATTCTTGCGTATGCTACGAATTATTCCAGACAAAACTTCTCGAGACGATCTCTGATACAACGTAAGTACCATTTCTTTATAGCAGTAATAGGTAGGGTAAATTGTAATCATAAGTCTCCTCATAGAAAATCTGTGTCTGCCAATTTTTTTAATAGGATAAGGATGACAAACAAACGTACAGTCCACCTGATGGTAAGTGGTTACTGTGAACCATATATATCTAGAAGATGGAATGCCTCATTTCCAGTAAAAAGGATCTCCGGTTCTCTACACTCACCATACGAAACACAGCAGTGTTGAGCAGCTGTTTTACGCTGGTGTCCCGTGAGAACGTGGTCTAGCGCTGGTCGAGCCGACCCATTCGTGCTACAACTATACTACTAATATAGCTGCGGCATGGCTCTACCACGTTTAATAGCCCCCATATTTACCGCATTTGCCACACTTGGCAGACGAATTGGCAACCGCGGTGCTCATATGTTCTAGTTGTTTTAGGACGGCGCTGCCGCACATCTCCAGGTTTGTTTCCTATCACCCGGAACATTATGGGGTAGTGGATATCTTACACCGCCACTACATGTTCAACCCTTTGCTAAATACTTTTATTTCGTTTAATTGTATTAGAAGATGAAAGGTAGCAGGAGTGGGAGTTGACGAATGCTGGAGGCTGAGGACACCACGTAACATTCTATGGGGGAGGTCTACGTTCATTGAACTTCTGCTACTAATAGACCGTCATGCTAATGATGGTAATGATAATGAATACCGTATTTATTATCAGTAATTTCTATAACTACGTCTTTCCGTATACTCGAATATGGCGCAATGTCATTAATTTAGCCATCATTATATATCCTATATGAAAAAATAATTTCAAGTAATTATAAAATAACTATATAACATTCATTCCAACCCATAAAAAATATCAAAAAGTTTAAAATTTAAATTTATTCATTTAAAATCAAATCTGTAGGTAATTAATTTAATAGCATCACTTATAAGTTATTGACACTTTGAATTTATAATTTGTGCTTCGAACACGTTTACAGTCTTGTATGGTTGAGACATATCGTATCTAGCCACTCATTTTAGTACGTTTTTATTTATAAAATTGCAATGCATGGACATCAGTAACCGACTTCAAATTAAAACGACTCAGATGCATTGTCAGCTCTGAGGTCTAAGACGGAACGCCTCACAGTAGAAATACACTGATACTCAATACCCTTGCGGAATATACTTGGTAGAGCCACGATCCAGCTATATTATGAATGTAGCACGAATATGTTGGCTTTTTTTTTTATAGAATAGGCTGACAAACGAGCACACAGTCCACCTGATGGTAAGTGGTTGCTGCGGCCCATAGACATCTACATCTATCTTCCATTACAAATCAAAATGCAGATGCGTTGTCACCCGTGAGGACTGAGATGGAATGCCTCATTTCCAGTAAAAAAGGGTCTCCGGTTCTCTACACTCACCATACGAAATACAGCAGCATTAAGCTACTATTTCACGCTGGTATTCTGTGAGAGCGTGGTCCTTCCCCGGTCGAGCCGACCCATTCGTGCTACAACTATACTACTAATATAACTGCAGCATGGCTCTACCACGTAGATCATCTAGAACCACACTCTTACATAATACCAGCGTAAAATAGCAGCTTAATGCTGCTGTTTCGTATAGTAAGTGTGTATCGAATGAGCGTGTTTTGTATGACATGAAGCATTCCATCTTAGCCCTCTGCATTTCGATGTTTAATCGAAAACAGATATAGTTTTCTAAAGTCACAGCATCTACTTATTATCAGGTGGACTGTGTTCTTGAAATATGTAAGAGTGGATACCAATACAGATTTTAAGCCAAAAAAGGATTATACTATTAGGTACCTAACACACAAATACAACGTGCTATCATTAAAAACCAACCTTAAATACCTACCAATTAATTAGGACCTTCACAAGCATATATACTCGTAATATACGAGTATGATAGGTGACTGACTCATCTGCTTATCGAGGATAGACGCCTTCGTGGCGCAGTGGCTTAGCAATGAGTTGCAGCGCTGGAGGCCGCGGGTTCGAATCCCGCATGGATATATTTGTATGATCTACTACTAATAATTGTTTCGGATCTGGATGTTCGTCCTTGTGAAATTTATAATATAAACTGCCGCGCGATACAGGACGCAATCCTAGTGCGTAGGTTATGTTGTTTTGAGCAAAATGTTGTGTTCGATGAGAAAAAGTAAAAGGTTGAAGTTACACCATATATACGTCCCACAGCTGGGCACAGGCCTCCTTTCAGTTCTGAGTATGTACGATGGAAAAATCATTTTTCTATTATTTATATCGAAGTATTATCGTACATCCCACACCTGAACACCCCCCCCCCTATTACTAAAAGGGTTACAAAGCACGAAACAGTCCGCCGCGCTTGTCACGTTTTAAATGCAATACATTCTCCGAAAAAGCTCGCGGCCTGCGAGGCCCCTGAGTCAGATGAAGCTGTATGAGCCGCATAGCCTAACAGCACTTACATCTCACGAAATAGCTGCAACTCCGTACAAAGTAACTACCACGGTAGTCAGAAGCCTGAGTAGATATTTATTTAAAGTTTGATTGAGTTAAAGTTAAAGTTACAGTCTATATGCGTCCCACTTCTTAGCACAGACCTCCGCTCATTTCTGAAAGGGTTTTATAGCAAGGAATTGTCCGCCGCTCTGTCCCAATGCATGTTGGCGAACTTCACAAGTCTTCGAATATTTTTTTTCTATTTCACGATGTATTCCTTCACCGCCGAGCACGTGATAATACAGCACTTAAAATTGCAATTATCAATTTCATTAGTGCCGGCGGGGATCGAACCCTGGTTGATCGCTTACTGTGAAATTTACAGCTAGCGCTAACCATCTGAACTACCACGGCTCTTTGATTGATTGTTAGTTAAAACTTCGATGTGAAAAATAAATTAAAATTAAAAGTGATTAAATCCGTAAAATTATTTTTAATGTACTGTGGTTGCATAATACCGTATAGTAATATAAAATTATCATTGATAATTTTTATATGTGAAATATAATCATCATAAGTTGACTTCAATCCTACCAAATAAATCAATATTTAAAATGTTCCTAGCTCTATCTTTACATTTATTTATTATTCTTTTTTATTACCATAACTTGCATAAAAATATTTAGCGGAATAACCATAAACAAATATAACTTTAAAAAAAAACAATAGGCATTTTACGACTTCGGTCGACTTCTACGATAGGATTATGTCTAAAAGCTGCAGAATTAATATTTGACCGGAGTCAAAATTGTTATTTAATAAAAAAGTTATTCAAGATTTAAAAGTAGCATAATTCCTTATAAAATTACATGAAGGTCTCATTAATATTTAAACGATATCGACACATAATTATATAAATGTGAACATTGAACAATCTACTAAAAATAAATAAAAACATGAGCATCGTCTTATGGATTTTATGACCGTAGCGTTAGCTTTAAAAAATATAAGGCACGGTAAATAATCATTTAATATTTTCTCAATTTCATATAGGCATGTAAATTTTTAAATCAACAATCCAATGAAAGTAAAATTATAATTTTTTTTTTCATTTAAAATTATAGTTAAAACAATTTTTTAAACCTTTAGCAATTTTAAATATCCCAAAATGTAGTTTTGTTAAAGTTATATTAATATATTATTATATATACAGTAGTGTATTGTTTCACTACCTAAATCAATTACTATTAATTGCTGGTAACAATTCTGCTTCCATTTTATAACTTTTAAAACGATCCCAAAATTCACCTCCTTGTTTTAAAAAATCCTTATTTTGTGAAACTTTACCGGCTATGATTACCTACATTTGTAAATTTTATTTAAATTAAAAAAAAAGAAAATGATGAACTATTTTAAAGTTGCGTTAAGCCTTTTTTATTCGTTATTATTTTAAAAACTTTACAAACTGCGTACCTAGTATACATATTAAATATTTGTTGCACTTACCCATAGAAAGGAGTTATCGCTAAAGAAAACAAATACGTAAAATAAAAACAATTCAGTGTTTATTTGTATGGCGTTAACAAAGTATTCCCTTATCTCAAATCCTATAATACATCGTTGGTAATGACATCGATTCCGAATTAAAATTAATATATACAATTGTGACGAACTAGTGAACATACAATTAAATCAACTAATTTACAATTACACCATTAAATCTACACTGGACCTCATTAAATAAATTACGCGGCATGATCTAAATTAAGCAAAAGATCCGTCGGATTCAGTGCGTGTAACACCCAAACTTAACAAAACGGAAAATACAAACAAACAGTCAGCGAGTCACATCGACACGTTTAACTACAAGGCTAAATATAGTGACACCTACAGAAAATAATCTCTTTTTGGTACCAATCTCACTTCACATAGCTGATTGAATGGAACTACTTAAAACTAAACGGGAAACGTATCGATACTCAATAGAAAATCACAGTTTAAATAATCCGTTACCGCGGGCATATTCATCCCAACATATTTACAAGCCACTTGATACAGGGCGCACACTTTACAATTCTCAACTAACTGTTACTCTAGAAATCAATAAATAAGGTTCGTGAAACCTACGTCACTTCGTTACACTGAGTCTTTTTGCCGAACCTCAAAGGAGAGTCCTTCAAGGAAGGCAGGTTGGTCTTCAATATATAACGGACACTGGCCGCCTTAGCTGATCGTCGTGCGGGCTGTGCTGTGTTGGCGTCGCTGGCGAAACCGGTGATGAAGGTGCCCCTCCGTACTGATGGAAGAGCGGTGACGAAAACGGCTTCGGTGGAGCCGCTGGTGAAGTATACAATGATGAGTAAAACGATGATACTACCGCAGCGGCCGAAGAAGCCGTCGGCATTTTCTCGGCCGTCGGCGCCATTAGTTTCGAGAACTGTAGGTGATCCAACTGATGCGGGAAGTAAGGTGGAACTGCAGGGTATGACAGAGCGTCCAAATGTCCAACGGTTGGTGCCGGGCCAGCGAAATACGGCAGCGGAAAACTTGGGAATGCACCAGCTCCCGGAGCACCACCTGGTGTAGGAGGTTTGGGCTTCCTGCGCGGTCTGTACTTATAATCCGGGTGCTCTTTCATATGCAGAGCTCGCAGCCTTTTCGCTTCATCAATAAATGGCCGCTTTTGCATCTCGGTTAACAACTTCCATTCGGCACCGAGTCTCTTTGAAATCTCGGAGTTGTGCATCTTCGGATTGTCCTTTGCTATCTGGCGCCGTTGAAGCCTCGACCACACCATGAACGCGTTCATAGGCCTCTTGATGTGGCCTTCCGATTGCGGTGAAGACGCCGGCAACGGCTGCGGTGCGCTCGGATACTCCGGCAGCATACCGGGATGCATCGAGAACGCGTACGGGTGATGGCTCAAAGTTGACATGTTTACAGAGTAGAATAAAAGTCTAAAGATCTGTTATAGCATTAGCTATGGCACAATGTGATGAATCGGACACAGGCGAGAAGACGATTGTATCGCGTTGAAGTCGTGCGGTAGACTGACGGGTCTGAGTAATGCCAGCATGGGTATCGGAAAGTGCGGGGCGCGGTTTGGGGCGGCGAGGCCGGTTACCAATGGGCGCCTCGCGTGTAAAGCCTTCGCCCCTCCTCTACTGCGACACTCTCTCTGTCCCACTCACAATGTGACTCAGTATACACCGCTCACTCACAACAATGCCCGTACCGCGGCTCCCAACACTAGTACAGCTGTTTAGAGGCATGTCACGAGCTAGGCGACTTAATGCATGATATAACCGTTGTAATAGAGTGGTGCTTTACATTTGTATTGTGTTTAGATTTCTTTATTTTATCCGTAAAACATTTATCATCATTAGCGTCTTACTTGCATAGTTTTAAGAACTTCCTAGGTATAAAGTTGTTTGAGCTGACAAAGCTGTCTACAACTATATCAATATTATTCTATCGCCAAGTTGCAAAAAATTCTTAAACAAAGATTGTTTTTAAAAGAGTTCTTATACAATTAAATAAATACGTGGATTGTAATAACTCCTGCGATTGAGGTGATCGTACTAAGCTGTTTCTAATATTATTTGTAGGTATAATAAAATATACATTTATTTATTGCAAACATTTATTTAAACCCGCTGATTTCTTAGTAGTTCTTCGCAAGGTATTTTTCAAACCAGTAGTGAATTAATTTAATATTAGTATTATATAATATAATTTCTATTGCATTATTCTTTTTTTTTTATTATATTACAGCACGTGCACGCAGCTGATTGAAAAACGTGACATTGCTGACCGACTGATGTCGAAAAATTCGAACCAAAAACTCCGAACGAAAATTTCACAAACTTGTGAATTGTAGCAGAATCTAGCGCGTTATCAGTGATGTGTTTGACCCATTTGCCTAGCGTGGTAAATTTGATATATATATTATTTTGCTGACACATTCTTGGAAAGGTTTGCTCAGGTCGCTCAGGAGGTGTGTGATGTAATAAATGAAATTGCAACATATCATTTTTAAAGTTTAATTAATTTCAGGAGCCAAAATTCAAAACGTGATTTGTCACTCAGATCAGATTGTTGGGAAAAACTTGTTATGACCTTTTTTATCTCTTTCTGGTAGTTCTTAAACATATTCATATATTTTTATAAGTTTGAAATAAAGTGCTCATACAAAATTAGATTGTTTTTTTTAACAATTTGGACAAATCATGTTTTGAATGAATAGGTATGGAGAAATCACGTTTTATGATTCAATGACGATATGGGATAGTGGATTTCTTACACCGCCACTACACGGTGAGTATGGTCTCTTACCATAAATAAAAAAAATTATTTTGTATTAAGTTTCTTATAAAGGCAGCATAGAATTATTAAATCGAATGAATTTTTTCAAAGAAATACTTATTTACAAACTACAGTACGTGAGGATAATTTGGTCATCCAGTTAATATGGTAATTTTTTTGTAACTGAAAAACTACAGCCTTGTTTGCATGGACGGCTGTGTAATAAGATAGCTCTTCATCAGTCAATCAAATAATAAAGGGTCAAAAGGGCGATGTTTTATCGATGCCATTTTGACAGCTGCAATAAACTTTAAGTCGATTTTAATATGGCGTATTGTACCTAGTTAGTTTTCTTTAGGTTGATTTTTCGAAGTGTTCCTAATTATTGTCGGAGCTTGTTTGCTAATTTTTCTTAATATATTAGTTATAGTATACGAATTTGACTCTGTCTTTCTCGTATTTTAGGTTTTACAGGACGGCAAAACATAAGGTGATCATATTACCGTACTTTGTTACGTTGTGGTCTTAATGTATCTTCTGTTAAAATGTTATACTATCTTCAAAATTATCTTTACATATTATTTATCTAAAACATTAAAAATATTTTTGTTAGTTCGTATTTATGCGCTGCTATAGGACCGTTTTACAGATTGCGTTAAAACTTTATCAACATATTGCTTAAACTTCCGCAAAGGTTACAGGCATATTTGGACTCGGTAGGTGACGCTGTCGTGGAATCCAAATATCACTCGTGCGAAGCCGGGGCAGATCGCTAGTGTAGATATATAATAATCTTTGTTTCCATACAATTTTCATAAATTGGTTTTCGTGTTCTTAATGGTTTATATAAGTATTTATTATGGTTTCTGAGATTTATTAAATAAAAATGATCTTATTAAATATTTAATGTTAAGGATAATAGGACCTTATGCTTTTATAAATTAAAAAAATAGTGGTGTTTTTTATAAATGTAAAAATTAATAGTAAATTGTAAAAAATTTATATACCATATCTTTAGTATTATTTATTATTCATTTTCATTAAAGTCCATTTCTTTTTATAGAAGAGGGGGCCAACGAGCGGTATCATGCGGCTCATCTGATGGTGGACCAGCGGAATTTTCAGGTGCGTTGCCGGCATTTTAGAAAGGAGTACCTAAGCTCTTTTCTTGAAAGCCCCTATGTCGTCCATTAAAAGTGTACTGTCTCTAAGTTAGATTGTCTCATTTGCTATAATAGCCTCCTTTGGCAGGCGCCCGCAACCGAATTTTTTTTATTATGTCGAGTAATTATTAGGAATGCCCATCTCCTGTTACCTTCTGTCGTCTGGTATAATACGATATTCTAGATTTACAAGATTCTCTTTCGCCGCTAATTCACGGCAATTACCCATAATTATTACAGTTTTGCGTTATTGTTTTTTTTAAAGCATCGAATATGATTTATTTTTTCAATATTTACTTTTATTATTTAATACCTATAAATAATTGTATAGTGGCACAATGCAAAAATATTGTGCGTGTATTTTGTACATACTTACGAAGTAAAACTTCTTTACGACATATCATTTTTCTTTTATTTTATATATCTAATTATATAAGTAGGTTAAATATGCAGCCCCCCGATGTACCTATTTGATATTTAGTATCGTACTATATTTCTCCACTACGTCGATAAAGAAGTTTCACTTCAAAAATGTAACACACATATACGTTCCGCATATTCTACAATTATAAGTTGCTTAAATACTGAATTAATTTTAAAAAGGAAGATCCTACATCCGCTCCACTTCTGAGCACAGACTGTTTCTCGTCACTGGCAATAGGTAGGGACCTACACTAAGTTCATTTGTCGACACGAAAACCGATTTAGTTTTACTAAGATATTTTGAAGTGAGCGCTTATTCCATAATTTACCTTGGCTGTGGTGTAACTATATAATTATATCTACACATACAGTATAATACCATTTTATTAATATCAATAGATATATACCGTTTGGTTCTACTACCAATTTGGGAAAATTTCCACCATCTATAATAAGGTTACCTACCTACCTATTCCATTTGAATACAATAGAACCACTTTTATTCAATATAGATTATTACGTAACACCTATTGAAATATTTTTTTTTACTACTGGTTGGGAACATACGTACCTCTCTCCTGGGCAGAACCAGCAAGAAATCCATCGTTATAATTTATTAAAACTAGAACTATACTGTTACAATAGAATACTCAACTTTTAAAAACTAATACTAAACATTTATGCAATGTTTTATTTGTACCTATTATAATAAAACCAGATCAGCGATTAGCTTACTACCATGGGTTTATTTTCATGCGTGTATTCTTTAATTAGCAATGCTGGTCAACAGCTCCTTTAAATTTAAACGTTTTATTATCAAGCTTGCGGCTTTTCATCTAATTATTTCCTCAAACAAGGATAACTTTTGCAGAAAACTATACCTAGGTACGTTACGCACACTCCAACGCACGCACATTCATAAAAGTATGTAGGTACCTACTAATTTTAGTGATTGTATTAAAACCACTCAGTTTTAAAACAGCTCAAATTAACTATCTAAATAACAAGTAACTTCTACGACACACTCTGGAGCGATGAAAACACACACACCATCGGGCTGTGTCACAGGTTACCCCCTTAAAGGCTAATCTGTGGGTTATTTACTTACTGCTTTCCACAGTAAATTTTACTGATCGAACAACTAACGCCATCTAGTAGCAACTTATAACAATATGGCTCTTTACATTTATTAAATTATTCAAATTCAAAACATATTTTAAAGTGCACATAGAAGTTTCGGTAGATACTTTGCCATTTTGAAAAATAGCATAATTAACATTAAGAAGATTAATGAATTAAAATAATTTAAGTAATTTAAAAATGGATAATAGACACGTGGAATACAAAATTATATCATTTGTGTTCAAAATTTTATTTCTAATAGCGATAATCATTTTTCTGAAGTTAACCCGTATACAACCACGGGATTAAATTAAAAACAATAGATTCCAACAAATAACTGAAAGACAGACGTAGGTGACACTTTTGTTTTTGTTTTAGGAAATAGTTTGCGGGCTGTCACACAATGCCCTTTAGTAACGGGATGACCACCATAAAAATATTAGAAACAATCATAAAATGACTTATTCCATTATACTTGCATCGCCGTCAGCTAAAAATCTTATGAAGCTTTCTGAAATGTACAAAAAAGACTCTATCACTGTTAAATAAGACACAAATTTGTATAAAAACAATGTTCGGCAGCGTCCCGGTCCTTTGTCCCATTGTCTTCACGAGCATCGTTTCTTAGAAGCGAAACAGCTTTTACACTGCATAATAAAATAATTATTCCTCTTTCCAAAGTGCTATATTTCTCGTTAATGTTTTATTACTCCGCGAGTTTGTTTGCCGCTATGGACGCCATTGTCTATGAGTTTTATTGCAGTTTTATAGTTTTAAAATAATTATATTTGCGCGCGTGTTTTGTTACCTTCGCGCTGTTTTTATTGAGAATTTTTAGAAATGAAATCGCATTTAACAATTACAGCTCAACAAT